TTGGATTTTCTTGTAGTGTTTCTCTAGAATTTGTCCTATGACTAGGTATATCTTTACAGATGACCAGTTTGCGCCAAGTGATGGCGATAGGAGTTATGTGGGTTTATTTTATTTTTGTAACCATGTTTGGTCGATCAATAAGAAGTCAACCATGTTTTCCCATGAAATTAAAACATTTATGTCTAGTTCTTTGATAACTTGTCCAATATCTTAGTTCATATTCAGGTATTTCGTTATTTTCATTCAGCAGTTTTTCGTGGACATGCAGAATGCATTTGATAATTCAATAAAGTTTCAAAACCGATATCTCTTTTTTGTTCCGTGCTAACAAAAAGTCTATTTTTAGAATAGTCAATCTACGTTATACAATCCTTCCTGCATATGCGTGATAACGAAATCTAGAAACGTGGTTTCTCGGAAACTCGAAGCCGACACAAAAGTGCATTCTCTATAACTTAATTTTCAGCTTAAAATAAAGTAACTACACGTAATTTCAATTATGCTATCAATGTTTGGATTACTTTGTATAATATGGTGGAAATTTCAAAATAAAATCCGTTTATTTCTTTTTTTTTTTATATACAATAAGAGTGTGGAACTTTGTGAAAACCTTTACAGCTTTCATACCTGGGCGACAAACCCGGATCCCCAGAAAATTGCCTGGAGGAGAAAAATTGTATTGACGTCCAGATTTTCTACAAAAAAGAGGGTTTCAACCTAAAGTGTCTGAATAAAATTGAAAAATTCGCCGTGTATTAACACGTTCTCATTCGTTTCAAAATACTTTGTGAAGTCTATTAAAAATAAATTCTTTGGAGTCAATTACAAATTGAATGTGGTGATATCGGATGATTTCTAAAACTATGTTACCTGTAAACCAGGAAACTGCCAAAACTATTTAGACGAAAACTCATAACTTGATCATCACTTTGTTTTCGAGTACGGTTTCTATCGACAATTAATATCGAACTATTTCCTGTTAGGTCACCGAGAAATGTTAACTGACCCGGAAATTTCATGGAGAATAACGTGGTTTGTTTCCGACTCCTTCCTCCCGGTTGATAAGCGGTTTAATTCCGACCACCATTAAGACAACAATATTAAAACTCGTTCTTTTGGTGTCCACGAGACGAATTTCGTTGTTGCCTCATCTCCTTCCGTTCGTGTATTTATTCTGAAATGGAACCCGTAACTCACGGTGAATATCGTCGTTGTTCTTCCTTCATGGTACATGAGAATTGCCCTTCTGGTTAATTGCAAGGGTCCCGATTTCATTACGTCTTTTGATAATGAAGCCGGGTATGAAATTGGTCATGAGAACCCGTTTTATGGAAACTCATTGCGACAAAGAAACGAATTAAAAGAGTGTTTAATTGAATTATAAAAAGAATTCATTTTATGAAAGTCGCAACAAAATAGCTCTTTTCCATAAAAATAAGTAATTTGAAAAATATTAGAAGTCAACGATTCGAGGCTAATTATAAAATTATTTTTCTGAAAACAAATTAACAATAGCTTTTAGCGGCCGGTTCAACCGATGGCGATTTGGGAGGCAGCCGCAGCCGGGTTTTCAGAACATTTTTCATTCCTCCACCATTAATATCCGCGGCAGCGAGCTTTTGTTCCCTCTCCCGCACCCTCCATCGACCTTCCCTTAAGTACTTCCTTCCGTGTATACACTTGTAACGGATTATTCATCATTGTTTTTGTGACGTTCTCGAAGATGTGACTCGCGAAATGTCGTCACCAACGCAATTTCGATTTTGCGTTTTCCAACCCTTATTTATCATCCAACAAACGACGCCGAAGAATTACTAATTTTCGTAAATGCATTCGCCCATACATCTTCTTGTAAAATGTCATCCTCAGTGACGGTATAATTAATTGACTCAAGTTAGAAAATTTCCCAATTTATTTTTACATAAATTATTCAAAGAAAAAAAATATAAAATTAATTTAATGTATGGATTTTAGAGTTTTCTGCTACAAAACGATGTGGGTTTCTTGTGAAATTTAACGCGAGAAAAGTTTTGTTCGTTCTGTTTGGTAAGGGCCAATGCGGAAAACCCTCGAAATAAAAAAAAGTGGTGCTAATGCTTTTACAATTTCCCCTGCATGCTGCCGCGTTGGTTCTTGTATTGAAAATGGTGCATTATTAAATCGTCATAATCAAAATACGATCATGTATTGGAGTATTTTTGAAAAAACAGAAACGATAACGTTTTATGCGATTATAAAATATGGAAGACCTCTTTAAAATATAATGTTAAATATGGTGAATATTTATGCAAAAAATAAATTTTACCAAATTACCTTACTGTTCGTATAATATCCGTTTTAAATACGTACCGTTACAAATAAATAGCTATAATTTTTCCTTAAACGGGAAAATGTACTAAAAAAAATGTACTAGGTTTAAATGGTGTACTCTTATTTATTGGACAGAAATAATACCTCTAAACGCATCAAAGAAAATAGTTGTACGCAAATGGAAGAGTTACAGAGACAGGAATAATTTGATTGAAGATTGGCAAATAATATATATATGATGTTTATAATAAATTTTTGAGAAATAAAGTTTTCGTGGTCTTAGAAAGATGTTGAACATAGTGGTGATTGAAAAAGCCGAAAGAGGAAATAGATGGAAAGACACCGCTGAAGCCCACCTGCTTGGCAGATATGGCAAGGAAGCTACTGGAACTTTTATTTAGAAAAACAAAACATAAGCTGGAGATCGAGCCTTGTGTGAAGTCAGTAATGTGATTTTGTCGTTGGGTTAATAAACAAAGTCATGGAGGATTTGCTTTTTTGAGTCATCACCATCAGCGGAGTATAGGCATAGTCTTTAACCTAGTTTAGTGAGACACTACATATTTGTTCTTCAACTACTAGTGATTTACCACACATCCCTCAAAATACCAATCAAATTGATCTGAAGTATCTAGAAATCTCTCTTTACCTTTCTTAATATAATTCACATTTTCTTCATCTTATTTTTTGTTTTAAATGTCTGGTTGATTTCAATCTATCTACTTTCTTTACATTCTATAAGTTCTTCAATCTCTTTTGTAATCTCTGTCTTTTGATAATTGATAAGGCTAATTAACTTTTATTTCTAGCAAATTCTGCCTCCGATGTAATTATGATTGCCTTGTAAAATGCGATCTGACCGATAACTCATCTTTTGATAGCTTTTTCTACCGCTATTTATCTTATTTGATCATTGTTGTTATACCACTTTGAAATTGTTTTCTTTTTCCTTAGTATGTTATATAATCTTTGATATAGCAGATTTTTGTTGAGTCTTAATAACTGCTAGACACATTTTTCAATCTTTTTTAAGTTCTCTATTGCCTCTTTTTTATTTCTTTTGGAAAAAGTTAGATTAGTTACTTAATTTGACAGAAAGTTATCCTCACACCAACGATTAACTATTTCAACCCACTCTAGATTCTTTTACAAAGGATTAATCATGCATTAGCATAACATATATTTATGTTTACATTAAATTTCAATTTTTTCTAACTTTGGTAAGGGATTTTTTAAAGTTTTATCAGTTTTCATAAAAACCGAAAACATCAAAAACTGTATAATAAGTTTAAAAACATATTGAATGTTTTATTCGATGTGATCAGTTTATATATTTAATTCTGCATTTCTTATTTTAATTTGCTTCATTTTTATTCTAACATTTGTAAATAATTTTATTACATTAAAAATCAATTCATGTTAATAAACAAAAACAAATATACGCTGTGGGCTTTATACATAATTTCAGTTGGGTGTGAAAATTGTAATTATGAAGCGTGCAATTAACAAATTATATTTTGTTAATCAAATACATTGGATTAGGGGTTAATTAAATAGAAATTAACCTTTCCAAAATTATAACGAAACATATCACTATTATTGACAAATATTTAATTAAACTTTTGTCGAAACAGTTTTACTTGATTAATTATAATTTAATTAATGTAATACGACTAATATAAATTAAGAAAATGTTTTTTCCCATTTTTCTCTTGTAATGCTTTCGAATCGACGACAATAGGAACATCGAGGGGACATTCGAATAACTGTTATTACGGGAATAAATGGCGCACACATGTTACACAAAGCGTTGCAACGACAATTGGTACAACAATAGGCCTTTGCGAAACGACCAATCCCAAGGGAGGTTTTATTAAAAAATTCTACAACCGGAAATACTCCCAATTCAACATCCGGCTCGGAACAGTGGCAAAAGTCGAACGTGCGCCGATAATGAAATTTATATTTTTTAATTAAGGTCGAAGGGGAAAGTTACCCAACAAAACGGCCGCCCGGTTTTTAATTAGACCTTACCCAGTGCGTACTGGTGATCTTAAGGTTTTACTTTTCACCGCTGACGGGGAAAAATACAAGCTGTATTATGCGGAATTACTGAATTTATGGCCATCATTTTGTGCACCCTACCCTAATTTAAGAAGGGACTCTTCGATCTCCATGAAAAAAAAGTTTAAGGGTATGGAAAATTTTCTTGGTTGTATTAGCATTTGTAGGATATTACGAGAAACTTTTGCTTGGGGTCATTACTTTCATTTTAAACTTGAAATCCTTCATTATGTCATTTTACAAACAAAACATTACGATTATAAATTTCTCTTCGAAATATTGAGATAAATGACAATCGTACATTAAACCAAGTGAATCTCTTCCAATCGGAATTCTCTCGCATAAATAAACATTAATTGGGACATAATGTAGTTTTAGTCGACAGTGACTAATAGGGCGAATCTCGACGGAAATGACGGATGACGCTCTTCGGAAATAAGCGGAATTTATTAGGTACGAGGCGAACTGACGGGCTCGAAATCCCGTAAATAAAGGGAGCGGATAGGGGGAGGAAGACTCGCGACGCTTCCACCTGATTGCGTCGGATTTTCGTGATGAACTTCGATGTGAGGCATAAATCAAAATAAAAGAGGCTAATAATAAAGGTGAGGAAAAAAACAACTCACTGGAAGACGTCGAGCTTGAACTTGCAGCGGAAGCCGACCTGTAATAAGGTGGAGTTCCCGCCTCCGGTTTGGTAGTGATTGGTGTTGAAGCCCCTAATCGACGCGTAACGTCTGGAGCTGGCGGGAAACGTTCTTCCTGAAAACAATAAAAATAACAAAGTAAATAACTTTTTTCGTGTCTATAAGGATTAATTACTACTACAATAAAATCTTGATGTAAAAGATTAATATGGGGAAGGTGGTGTTCGTTATAGTCAAAAGTACGTTATATAAAATAAATAAATAAATAATAATTTATTGAGCCAAATTAGAAAAAACAAAATACAATAATAAGAAAAAGTACAATAATATTAAACTTAAATTATAGCTCAAAGGGTGCAAGGGCAGAAAAGGCAAAACAATGCCACTGATTTTACTTGCACCTAATGAGAACAGCAGCAGAAAATAAAATAAAAGTTAAATCAAATCAAAACTGAGCAGTATCAATGAAAATGAGATAATAAAAATAAAAACAAAAATAAAAACAAGTAGTTAGGATTATTAAATTACCAAAAGAATCAAAAGCAACACTATATCAATTATCACGAAAACCGATCAAACACCCTCTCGCGCAAAACAATAGATCTAAACAACTGAACCGAGCGGGCACACCTCGCAGAACTGGGAATCGCATTCCAAAAACGAGCTACTTGATAGGAAAACGAGCACTGAAATTTTGACGATCTATGCAGAGGAACTGTAATAAAAAATCCATGCCTAAGATTCAAATTGTGTACATCAGTTCTGAAGGTAATCTTGCGAGAAAGATAAGGAGGTTTACCAGAAATAATAATCCCATGAATAAAAGACAAGTAATGAAAAACAAATCTCTGTCGCATATTCAGCCAACCACAATTCTGAAGAGCTTGTGAGACGTGATCACCTCTCCTCAATTTATAAATAAAGCGAAGACACGAATTCTGCACGACCTGAATTCTTCGCAAACTCTCAAAAGATAGACATGGACCAAATACAACGTTACAATAATTAAAGTGAGACAAAACTAGAGCATCACAGAGAAGGAGCTTGAGCTTTATGGACAAAAACATTTTACTAAAATAGAGGCTTCTAAGGGACCCATACGCGCGCCTACATATCAACCTAATGTGATCACCAAAAGTAAGCCTATCATCAATGACAACACCCAAACTCTTGACCGAGTCCACCACTCTTAATTGCTCCCCTAGCATACTAATGTTAATTTCATTTTTATTAACAGATAAGTTACCCTTTTTAGTAAATAAGATGCATTGGGTCTTGTCAGGATTGATCACAAGAGCATGCCTTTGTATCTCCATACATAAGTGACCCAATTCCTCAGTAATTCTGTCACATGCATGAGGCAACTCATCAGGTATGAGGTCGAAATAAAGCTGTGTATCATCCGCATATAAGTGATAGGAACATAAGGTTAATTTTGAAAATAAATTGCTGGTGAATATACTAAATAAAAGTGGACCCAAAATAGAACCTTGCGGTACACCTGCTACAATTGTAGAAGGATCAGAACAAACGGATTTAACCTTAACCGATTGCATCCTGTTAGAAAGATAGCTCCGAAACAAGGAAACAGCACAATCAGAAACACCAATAAACCTCAGAATAGCCAACAAAAGGTTATGATTCAAAATATCAAATGCCTTGCTGAAATCAAGAAGCACAAGTACAGTAGATCTTCCCCCATCCAGAGCTCTAAAAACGTCATCTGTCAGATCAAGAAGTGCCGTGGCACAGCTATACTGTCGCCTAAAGCCAGATTGTTTCTGAGGTAAAATATGATTAGAATTTAAAAAGGATTCTCCAACACTTTGGAAAGAACCGGGAGGATGGTAATGGGCCTCAGATCTTTAAACTCCTTAACTGGATATGGATATATTATGGATATGAATAATTTAACACTGAATAACTACTAAAACTAGAACTAACACTAGCATTAGAACTAACACTAGATCTAGAACTAGAAACGTTCGGGTTTAGCCGTCTTAAGAGACGTACAGCTAAACTAAATGTTCAATAAAAATATACATTATAGCGCTATCTAGTGCTAATTAGTGCTACCTAGCACTGTCACTAGAACTAATACTAGACCTACAACTAGAATCATTCGGGTTTAGCCGCACGTATCTAAAGACCGCTAAACCCGAATGACTCTAGTTCTAGGTCTAGTGTTAGTTCTAGTGTTAGTTCAATAAAAATATACAACATAGCGCTATTTAGTGTTAATTAGACCTACCTAGCATTGTCACTAGAACTAACACTAGACTTAGAACTAGAATCATTCGGGTTTAACCCCACGTCTCTAAAGACGGCTAAACCCGAATGTATCTAGTTCTAGATCTAGTGTTAGCTCTAGATTTAGTTCAGTAAAAATATACAACATAACGCTATCTAGTGTTAATTAGTGCTATCTAGCACTATTACTATACTCTGTTTTTAAACCAGGAGGAGTATTTTAAATTTGTCACCAGATTGACCTTGCACGTGATTGGTTGAATGCGAGGAAGGTTCACACACAGGCAATTTTGAATTTTGATTTTGAATTTGAAGGTTAGGTAATTGATAATTCGACAGTTTCGTGTCATTATTGTATATTTTGTGTTCTTAAACCCTTTTTTATTATATTTTGAAATAAATACACTCATAACTTCAATGTTAATTTGTATGTATAGTGTTGACGATAACAAACGAAAATAAATACAATAATAAGTAAATAAATAAATAATAATTATTAATTTAAATTTACCGCCAAAATATCTAGTGATATTTTCTGGTGATTTTTCCTAGTGTAAATCTGACTTTCGCGTTTACTCCTCCTGGTTTAAAAACAGAGTATAGTTCTA